ACTGGCTTTAGGCCTTTAGGTGGCGCTCCTTGTGGGCACGATCCGCGTGATGAAGTGTGCCGCAATAGCCAGGGGGGGCGCAGTGTGAACTTTGCCTTTTGGGGCCGTAGGTGGAGATTCCTGTGGGCCACGATCCGAGTGCGAGGTGTGCCGAAGTAGACGGGAGGCGGGACGCGAACCTTGTATCCAGGGCCGTCCATGGAACCCTCGGCGGGCCACGATCCGTGTGAGAAGTGTGCCGAAGTGAGCGGGGCGACGATATGAAGCTTCATTGTGGTGCCGCACATGCAGCTATTTGCTGGGCACGATCCGCGCGAGGGGCGTGACATTGTGCAAACCTTGTCTCTGGAAGGTGGAGTTCCCTGTGGGGCGCGATCCTTGTGAGGGGTGTGCCGACAAGGGCGGGTGAACGCTAGCCACGCTTGTCTCTGGGGTTGCAGGTGGAGCTCCCTGAGGGCACGACTTGTGCGACAATGTATGTCCTCATTGTTTACTACAAGTAGAGCTTGTTAGAACCTAAGCGTGAAGCGCGCGTGAGTCCAGTGTATTTAAATACACATATATACACATACATACATACACACATGCATACATACATACATACATGCATGCATACATACATACATACGTACATACACATACACATACACATACACCTACACCTACACATACACATACACATGCATATGCACATGCACATACACATACATACAAGCATACATACATATACATACATACATGCACATACCTACATACAGACAGGCGGACAACCATATATACATACACACAAAAATGCATGCATACATACATACATACATACGGCTATGCACTGTTAGTGCTACTCGTGTTGCTATGAGAGACTGACGTTTTCGGAGCCATCTGTGGGTTCTTGAGGGGCATCCTGGTGTGGAGTAGCATTACAATCCTCTTGTGTTTGCTGTTCCTCTTGATCTTGTGCCCCTCTCCTCCAATGTTGTTGCCCCCATGATTGCGCGTATGCTGTTTCCATCGCCGCTTAGGGCTCTTGAGTCTGTGGCGCGCCGCGCACGGAAACATGGCAGAGTGACGCATCTTGGTGTGTACGTAGTTTTGTTTCCACAGTTGGCACCTGGAGCGTGATTTGACAGATCCACGGCATTTCTCGCAGTGAATCTCCTGGAGCGCGCGATCGCTTGTCAGATGAGATTCGCCAGCAGATCGCACCGGTGGCGGAGCGATGAAGACTGGAGTGCCGAGTTCGGCGCCAAGTCCCGAAACGTCGAGGACCAGAATGCAGAGTTCAGCGCCCGGTCCTGAGGTTGGTGGAACTGGAAGTACGGCCGCTGGGAGCGGCGAGGAGAGGAGTGGATCTTGGCAGAGGCCCTAGACCCGCCCTTGCTCCATGCCAGTCACCACCGAGCAGACCCCCAGAGCCTCTACGTGGACAAAGAGCCATTTCCAGCTTGGGACGGGCTGCACCCAGAGCAGACTTGGAGAACGTACCGCCGATCCCTAGACCACTGGTTGCAGAACACGGACATCCCAGCGACGAAGCATGGGATTTGATTTTGGAAGTCGTTGTCCGATAGTGCTCATTTAATGATGAACCACCTGACAGACGAAGAGCTGCAGGACCCAGGGGTTGGACATGGCCGCCTACGGTCTTCACAGGGAGCGCAACCAGAGGTTGATGCAGTTCACCAACCTCGCCCGGTCTGCTTTTCTCAAAGCGGATTCCCATGGCGACCCACTGCCAGACCGCTAGAAGGGCGCGATCTTCCTCAAGTGTGCCAAGATCTTTTGGCATTTGAAGGACCACATCATGTCCAATATTGGCGGCTCTCGGAGGTTCACAGACATCGTGGATGCAATCCGGATGCTCTCCCGCAGGCCGACGGCTTAACAGGCGGGGATTCTTGACGCTTCGCGTATCCCCACCAGCCCATCCTACACCAGGCACTCGAACGAAGAGCGCCGATGATCGGCAGCTGTTCTCCTCCCCTCTTCCTCCTTCTCCTCCGCCTTTTCCTCCTCCTCCTCTCCTCCTCCTCCCTCTCCTCCTCCTCCTCCTCCTCCTCCTCCGCCTCCGCCTCTTCCTCCTCCCTGGTGGCGTATTGGAAGTGTCTTCGAACGTTTTGGTGGGCACTTGGGCCTTGCGGGCGGGCGGGCGGCGCTCCGCACGCCCGCGCGCAGGGCCCAAGAGGGGGTCCAAGACGTCTCTCGGAGCCATCTTGGAGGAGATCGATCAACGAAGGGGGGGTCCTAAATTTTAGCCCCCCCCTCAGGAGCCACGATCCTCGTGGGGGGTGTCGAATTTTAACCCTCCCAGGGGTCGATCTTGGACGCTCTGACCGATCGCGGCCCCCCCTGTCCAGGTCAGCGGGGAGGGGGTAGGGGGAGGGGTAAACCCCTCCCCGAAGGGGAAGAAGGAGGGGTGGAAGAGGAAACGCCCTAAACCACCGACGCCCAGAGGGCTGGTGGGATTTGCTTGCACGTGGTCGAGCAGCGTGACTCCGGGGAGGAGCAGGAGGGCGACGAAGCCTTCGTGGACTACGACGGCGAGGACGGCGAGCTCATCCCCCTGGACGACAGCGAGTACGACGAGGACGATGACCGGCGAGCGTTGTCACAGTTTCGCCAAGCCCGGGACGCCTCCCAGAGGGGCAGAACTCAGGGCAACCGCCAGATTCGCCAAGTTCTGCAGCAGAATCGGATTGCCCGCGGGTGGTCTGGCGGCTCTGGCGGAAGCTCGCAGAGCGGGTCGCGGCACGGTCCAGGGCGACTGCCCAAGGGCCGCGGCAAGGGCAACGGAGCGCCGGCGCCTCCGCGGCCGCACCCGGCGGCACGGCCGCAGCAGGGCGCCCGATTGAAGCCCGTCTCTGCTCTCGAGTTAGGGCACTGGTGTCACTGGTGCCCAAACCAGCAGCAGCCGCAGGACGAGGTAGGGGCCGAGGCGGCACGTGTCTCATCCACCGTACCAGAGTCGTTGTTCTGCGCCATGGTTGCTTCATCGTCGCAAGTGAGCTACAAGGGGGGCCGCGGTGCTGAGCTCAGCGCGCCGTCTGCTGAGCAGGAGAGCCCCAACTGCGACGGCGAAAACAGCCACGGCGAGTTCGAGCTGGCAGACGAGCACCCGCCAGAGGAGGCGCCCACGGCGCCTGGCCTGGACGACGAAGACCGTGAGTGGCCCCCTGCGAAGCGGCGCCGCGCTGCCAATATTGGCCGCGCAGCCTTCCAGAGGATGGCCAAGCGCGCCGCGGTGCGCGGCATCGTGAGCGACTTCAGCGCGCCAAGGATTTCTTTTGAAGAGGCGCCAGGGAGACCAGGGGCAGCTCGCGGCCGACCTCGAGAAGCTGGAGGCTCTCCGAGAACAGCGCCGGGCCCCCGCGACCGGAGGCAGCGAACCAGATGGACCGCGACCTCGAGGAGGGCACGCAGACACGCACTGCGCATTTGAACGGGCAGGCGGAAGCGCGCCGAGGCAAAGCGGCGCGCTGGAGCAGTTGACAGAGCTGCACAAGGGCTGGACTTGGAGCGCAACTGGGACCAGAAGCATGACTCGGTGCTACGGGAGAGCGACTACTCCTTGAGGGGCGGCCTCAAGAGCTTCAAGGGTCACGTCGAGGAGGAGTTCGCCACCTCCGAGGTCGCGCTGGACAGCCGCGGCAAGGAGGTCGAGGTCGCGCCCTGCCTCGGTCCACGACGACGCCGCGGGCGAGGTGGAGCGCCGCAAGATGACCCGTGCAGAAAGGAACGACTTCCGGGCAGACAGCTGGCGGCGCGACCCCGCGCAGGCTGGTTTACACGACCGCCGGGGGCCGCAGTCCATGCGGGGGGTGGCCAGGGAGGTTTTGACCCCGCGGGCGAAGGCTGCCCGGCTTGGAAACACCGCTGCCAGGGAGAAAACAGGAAGGCCAAGACGCTCTACATACGAGCTGGAACAGAATAGGCGCGCTACGCCGGCAACGCGTGCCCGCGCAGCCACGACGTCGACGCCGATAGTGCGCCCGCTGCAATGAGCAGCGCTGCGCGTTGAGAGCAGCAGCATTGGGGGGCTTCTGCGGAAAGCGCCAGCTGCCCCGGCACGGAGCCACGAGCGGCGGAGCGGCCTCGAGACGACGCCCGGCGAGAGCTTGGCGGACACGGCTGCCCGGAACGGCGCCACCAGCATCAGGGCGATCAGTGAACGCGGAAAGTCGTTGTACAATGAGCACGGTTTGAGGCCCGTTGTGAGCTCTAAGCTTGGCGCAGCCGCCAGCGTGAGAGGTCGCGCCGCGGCGTTCGGGCACGCGCGTGCGCCGCGTGGCACTGGCGGCGCGAACGACCTCGTCGAGTGGGCGATCATCGAGAACCCTGCTGCTCCGCCGCTAACTCCAGTCGACCTCCTGCACGCACTGGGCGCCGCGGTGAACCTGCCGGGTTCGACCGTGGAGCTGCGCCCCCCGACAAGAGCACCGCCCTGAAGTGGCTGCCCGCCGGCCGCGCGTCGCACAGTCTGACGGAGTTCGACGCAGACAGGTAGAAGGCAGGTGGCGCATGCGCCGATGAAGTTTGGAACGGCATCATCTCCATCACGTCCATCATCTTCGTCGTTGCACCCACTCTTCGCGCGCCCCTACGACGCCCGCCCCTGTTCGCCACCCCCCAGGGCGACGCCTGCCTCCTCTCCCACCTCGGTCGGACCTCGCCACGCTCAGTTGCTTCTTCTCCAATGTGAAGGCCCAGGGCCCAAGCGGCTCGACGCCGCCTTTGGCCCGAGCGTGCGCCGGGCAGTCAACGAGCGCCCCCTCGCGCGTCCGGCCCGCGGCAATTGCGGCCGGGCTCGCGCCGCCAGGTCGAGTCATGGGAGGAAGAGACGCCACTGCAGCCGGAGCAACTCAACCTGCTCTTGAAAAGGTGGAGGCGGCTTGCTCCACTTCGTCGGGTTCGTCCTCGCTGACGCGGCGCGGCAGGCCGCGTTCTCGCGGCGGCGCTCAGCCTCGCGGCAAATGCGGGGGCGGGAGTTCCGCCACGCAGTCGGGATGCAGCGATCGTATTCGACTCCGCACGCGCAGCAGCTGATCTGCGACGCCAAGGAGGGGGGCCTCACTATTGGCCGTGCCCCAGCTGCAAACAGGCTTTCGGCGGCAACAAGACGGGCCACTTGCCATCACCGGGCAAATGCCGATTCGCCCAGCCTCGGCAATTACCTGATAACCACGGCCAAGGCCAACCGGCTGCAGCAGCACCGGCCCCCGCACCAGCTGGGGCCAGCAGCAGAACCCGCGCCGCCAAGTGCGCGGCCATGCGCGCCACTGACGGAGCCGATCCGACAGCGGCGCCGGCAGCCACGACATGACCCGAGGAGTTCATGGGGATCGCAGTAGCGAGTAGCGAAGCACAGGGGGGCTGCGCTCGCAGCTCCAACGACCGCCAACGTGTCGCGGGGCGGCGCGGGCGCGAGCAGGGTTTGCGTTGCGCCGTCGCCACCTGGGCCACAGGCTGAAGCACAGCCACGTGCGAGGCTTCCTGACTGGACGCGCTTTGACATCCAGGTAAGCCCCCAGAACCTACGCAGCTTCAACCCAGCACTGGTCGTCAAGGAACTTCGGAAATTCGGAAATTCAACGTGCGCTGGCATCATGCTTCAGAGCCGAGCTGAGCATAACCCTGTCAAAAGTAGAGCCCGATACCGTGCGCCATAATACGATCAAGGGTGTATGCGACTCATGCCGTGAGTGTCGAGCCTGGGAGAAGCCTCGCAATACGGTTATGCCATCAATTAGCTTCCCAGATAGTTTCAACGAAGAGGTGGGCTGAGGCTCGATGTGCCGCGGACTGTTCATTGTTCTTTCTCGATGCATTCGGTGGGTGGCTGGCCAACAGGTTTCAAGGCCAGGTGCACTTTCCTAGACGCCCATCACCAATATCGGATGGAACATGGTCCAGCTAAGAAATCATAATATGACGGTGAAGGCGCCTCGAACACCGACACCGCCAAGTCAATCTTTAAATCCAAAGACACGGAGTTTCGCGCGCGCGTCCGAGGCAAACGCGCCACCGCCTTCGAAGCACGCAGCAGCGCCTTCGACACGCAGCACACGTCATGGAGGATGAGTTCGAGAGGTTCAGCGTACCCTTCCTGTGCTCCCAAGGCTGCTGCACGGGGGATGATACGACTGCAACACGTTCTACAATGGCGCATCTCCATCTCAAGCGACCATCGCCGCGAACAGGAAAATAAGCGAGGTAAGCATTGTGGCCATCGCGCGTACCACTGCGGTAGCGAAGGCTAACCGAGCCGGACGCACTCAAACGACACTGGCTAGCACAACTATCAACCAGATGAATTCGTGGACTGCCGCCGACCTACCACCATAACGGACGCTCGGGGAGGCCGGGATGGACCATGTCCAGCCACGCGCAATTACCCGGACTGAGGTCAAGCAGTTGTTAGGGTCGGCGGACGAGAGGTTTTGGCACAGTACTCAGACCTACGCCACACCCCGTACGTATAAGCCTTCATCGTCCGTGAGATCGGCTCTGACACGACGGCCACGTGCACTGTGCCCGCCGCCATCGCGAGACTACTTGCGGGATGGCGTTTGGCTATTTGCCCACCAAGCAGGGCCACCTGCGGGCGGCCACGGCGAGCAAGTTCCCCCCCAAGCTACACCTAGCCATGCAGTTTCTCATCGGGAATTTCTTTCTGAATGAAAGCTTAGTAGCCGCGCGCGTGGTCACGAGCAACCACAGCTGACCTTTTGCACCTTATGCCGATACTTGCACGCTAGTATACTACCACTACGATGTTGCACCAGGATTTCACTACTTCGAATCCGAAGGCATTGCCTTGAACACACGCGTCATCGCTGGATCCACCCACGCACGACTGATCCGACGACTCAAGTCCACCCAGCCCTTGGCTGTCTTGAAGAAGACCTGTCCAAGTTCGGGGACCTGGCGGACGCGCCAATACCGGGCGGACACACTTAGGAGGAACACCGCCAAACCCCTCCTGCCGCTGACGATAGCCGACTCTCCACAATCCAAGAGGAGTCGGAAGGCGACTTTGAAGCCCGTATTTCGGAGGAGTGGTACATAGAGTTACAAGAAGACAAGGAACTCATGCAGGAGACCACCGGAGAGTCTTAATACACAGTACAAACCAAGATGATCACCGATAGCAGCGCGCTGGTGACTGTGGCCATTGACGCACCAGGCAACGCGCAGAAACAGGGCTACTTGCAGTGCGGCGCTGAGAAGACGCCCCTCGCCCCCACGCGCGCAGCCCAACACGGCGAGACAGATGACCTCGACGCCGACGAACACGGCCAGTATGTCTAACTCTGTTGCACAGCAGACATGCTTCACGTGGTGTTGACGGATCAGCAACACAGACTATTCAGCGATAGCCACGCGACTACGATGCGAGTGCACGCGTCCGCTGCATCAACGAAGCCGTCGTCGCCACTGAATACGACCTCCCCACGAAGGCAAAGGCGTGGGCGGACCTTGCCAAGGCACCCAAAGCCGCGAACGGAACTCAAGATCTGCCTCGACGACTTTTGCTTCAAAGTTCAAAAAATACACATACACGCACAAAACATGCACCAACCATCATGACATCGCGGCACGCGCGCAAATATAAAAGGCATGGGGAGCGAGAAAGGCGAGATGGAACGCGCCACCAGGTCACGCCAATTGCTTCGCGGGGTCACGGACAGCGAGGCTCTCGACCTGGAGACCCCAGGCACAGCCGAGCGGGCTGGCCAGAGATTGCTCCCAAGCGCGGCCGAGTGCAAAAAGTCACGCATCACCCCGTCAATGGATGCGGATCAGGCTTTCTTGAGGCGCCTGACTTACAGCGAGCTGGCTGCAGCTGCGTGCGAGAAAGAGCGCGTGGAATTATTCGCGCTGCCACCCGGCTCAGCTTCGGCGCTTATAACGTCGCCAGGCTTTGCGTCGCAAGACGAATGCAAGACGAATCCATTGCCTTCAGCGCCTAGAGCCAGGAGCCGGCACCATGGACGCCCTTTGGGCGTCCCCGTGAAAACCCAGGACCATCGCGCGAGGGTTCGGTCTCAAACCGACTTCCTACGACGGGGAGTTTGAAACAAGTCCAAACCTTCCGGCAGCCAAGCTCGTAGACGACGCACGTCAGGAGTCGAGGACACCATTCCCAAATACGCCAAGTGCATAGAGGGTACCTTTGGCGCACGCAAGTTCAACAAGCACAGCTACACAGACTGCGGCGCACGGTGCACCAAGGCCGAGGACGGCCACGTCCAGCTTCAACCCCGCCCCAAGGAGCAGAAGAGAGGCGACGAAAACGGTGATAGGTATGTCCTTCATTTTACGTGGGGCTCGAGCGTGCGCCTTGAGCACCCAAGTGTGGTTGATGGCGCACGTGGTATCTCGGCAGCGCGTCCGAGAGCCGACCAACATGCAAGTGCGACGAGTCAACGCCGCAACACGAATACTACAGTTCGGTTTTCAGAAATACGCATACCAAGCGGTGACTCCGACTGGAGAAGTGGACCTGCATAGCGACACCGACTATCGTCGCCTCAACGGCGATGCCGATGACGAAGTCCAGGGGCATGGCATCACAGGTGCCAACCTACTACCGCGCGGGCACACGCCTCGTGGAAAGGTGGTTGTCCACCTTATATATGTTTACTGTAAGTCGCATCAACTACAGGCACGCTCCAGCTACCCAGCTGAGATCCTAGTAGCAGCCCGCACATTCCAGAGGAGCGCTTCCACGCCATCACCACGCTGCACGACTTCAAGGCAGGACTACTTAATTACGCCGACGCAACTTAAGAACGTAATAGATAGTCGGTGCATCAAGGCCGATGTTACAATGTTGTTGAGTACGCCTTCAAGTCCTTATCAAATAAGATTCTAAGGAAACCATTGGGTTTACCGTTCTTGGCCACATCATTCGCATTCGACACATGATGGAGAGAGGTACCGTGCGTAGTGTACGGTGGTGAGATACGCGTGGTATGACGGCCGATGGACATACCTAGAGCGGTCTTGATCGTGAGTTGTTCCTACATGTGATGGCGTGTAGAGGGTAGCCAGCCATTCAGGTACGAAATACAGCGGTGCGTACCACACAGGGTTAACCAGGCAGCAAGATCTGAGCCTGGCCCACGGAGGGCCGCCGTTTAAGGTGTCTAGGCCCGCATGGCCACAAGCGTTTTCTTGCCCAACCACGGGCCTTGTATGTTTAGGATTTTCGGTTCCACTCTGGAACCCCAGCTTGGTCACACGCAAGTGAGTTTCTTATTCAGGAACTCGGTGTCTGAAGGTTTGTTCGGACGCCTTGCATTTTACACACTTATTGCCTTTTGGATGGGCGCGATACCCGGCTGGAAAATACGAGGCTACCCGCTGCACGGCCGTTGCTAGCACTGGCGTGTACATATGTGTATATATATATATATATATATGTATGCATACATACATACACCTGTATGTATGTATGTATGTATGTATGTATGTATGTATGTATGTATGTATGTATGTATGTATGTGTGTGTATGTATGTATGTATGTATGTATGTATGTCTAGATATACGATGCATATATATATGTATATATATGTATATAATGATGTTTGAAGCGGCCCGACTCTCGGTTCCCCCTTTTGATTTTGAACGGAGCCCAAAGGAGAGATCAAGATTGCTGCGCCTGCGTCCGCTGTAGTTTGCGCCCCAAGCGGCTAGTCACGAATATAGAATTGTCCCGTTTACGGGGCGATATCGCACCTGATCAACGGACAACAGAATCCGATGGCGCCGCATATCATCCCATGCCTTACCTTTACATGTACCTATTCATGTTCACGGTATGAACACGTCATGGAGTATTACCACACATGCACCTAAAACGTAGTGTAGTGTTCGGCTTATCGTGTTAATGTCGGATTCCAGACACAGGGGGAAGGGGTATTGGGAGGGGTAAACCTTTTCCCCGACGGGGAAGAAGAGGGTTGGAAGAGGAAACGTTTTTTACCACACGCGCCCGGATGGCTGGTGGGATTAGCACCCCCCCAAAGTGGCCAAAATGAGGCCAACGCCTTCGTAAAATCTTCAAGTCGGGCCGTCTCGCCGCGGGTTCTTGGGGCGCCTTGGGCACCTCTTGGAGGCCTCTTGGGGGTCTCTTGGGAGCATCTTGGGGGCATTTGGGGCGCCTCTTGGGGCCTCCTCGGCACCCCTTGGGGCTCTTTTGGGGCACCCTTCGGAACCTTGGGGACCATCTGGGAGGAGATCGATCAAAGGAGGGGCTGTGCTAAATTGTCGCCCCCCCAAGAGGCTGAAATGCGGCAAAAGCCTTAACAGAATCAGTGATTTGGGCTTCCTCTTCGAGGCCATCCTGTACCCTCCAACTGATCGCGAAACGCCCCCTCTGGGTCCAGGGTTCGCGCGTCCTTCGGTTCACGCCTCCTCCCTTCTTCTTGCCTCTCCCGATTCCCTCTCGTGCTCCCTGGGGGGCTGCTACCTACGCACGACTGTCGCCACTCTCACGGGCTCGTGGGAGGGCCAGCGGAGCGACGACCCACGCGAATTCAGACAAGACCTCGCGATTCGTTGGTGCTTTGCTATTTGTGCAACCGTCGCCCCTTCCGCGCGTCTCTTCCTCTGATGCCTTCTCCAGCACAGGCCGACCTGCAGGAGGAGATGGCCTCTGCGGAGGGTTTCCGGACGCTCGTGCGCGAGACCGCGGGTGAGTCCCAGGATTTCGACGAGAAGGTTCCAGCCGCAATTTGTGCGCTTGGTCTTGATCTTGCCCGCGCCAGCCCGCTGCAGAGACGCGTGACGACTAAATGCATTCTCGATTGCCACCTCGATGTTCGATGCCTCTTCTGCTCTGATCTCCCAGGGAGCTTGCCTTTCCCGCTCGGGTGGCTCTCGAAAGCAGGCTTGCACGCTCACAGAAGATCCAATCTGGAAGGGCAATCCGGCTGATGCACTGCTTGGTGAGCGATGTGTTTGGATAGCTTTGCGGGGCCAGGACACGTCGACAGCCGCCCCCCGCTCCCTCCCCGAGTGGTAATCGATTACATCCCCAACGCAAAACATGTAATGCATGGCATTCTTTTTCGGGGGAGGGCAAACGCATGCAGAGGGCAAAGGTGACGGAAAGCATGATGCCATGTAGCGGGCTTATGTACAACATAGTTGTTATACCAAGGTTTTCGCCCAGTGCCGATTGGCCCCCATGGGGTCTCAGTTGGGGGATAGTAGCGTGAGAATCGTCTTGCCTTATTTGAACAGGTCGATTCGCAATGTTGATTGGCTGTTTGGTCAGGTGGTTGTCTGGCTGGCTGGCTGCGTGGCTGGATAGTTGGATCTGATATTTGGCTGGCTGGTTGCCTGGCTGGCCTGACGGCGCTTGCGCCCTGGCCCGCATCGGGCAGCATGCAGCACTGAGGAGGGAGGAGGGAGGAATGGAAGAGAGATGCGTTTGGTTACAGGGAGGCTTGCGCTAGTGCATGCCTTTTGGAAGAGAGAGAGAGAGAGCAGAGAGAGAAGGAGCAAGAAGAGAAGGAGAAGGATTGGTTTGCTCGTGGCACACGTTTCGGTGCTGAGCTGCGGTTGTTGGTTTGCACGCCCGTTCGTTATCAGCGCTACCACGTGACAAGGAGGCCACATGACAAGGATGACGAGACGGGGAGGAGGGAGGACGAGAACGGGGAGGGGGGGAGAAGCGAAGGGTGATGAGGGAGGGCGGAGGAGAGGGCAGAAAAGCAAGGGCAATGGGGAGATGGCAGGAGCGATGGGGGGGAGGGGGGACGGGAGACAAGGGAAGACAGAGGGGGGAGGATGGCGTGCGGGCACGTCGATCTCCTGCATGTGCGGCGCGCTCTGTGCCGGCGTCGGCTCAGCCGTGGTCTTCTGCGAGGCGGCCCCCCTGCGGGCCCCCACGTTCGACTAGACGTACCTAAGCGTGACCTCTCGCCGGAGTGACACTTGGGTGCGGGCCCACGGGGGTACCCCAATCGCCGAGCGCGGTGCGACGGTAGCGTCTTGCGCGCTCGCGTTCGGTCCCTCCGCGGCCCCCCCAAAGCCGCGCACCGAAGGTCACTCTTACCCAGGGTCACCCCTGCGTGTAGACGACATGTGGAGACGTCCTAGGCGGCGGCTCCTCCTGTACCTCGAGAGGGCCCCGAGAAGGCCCCTCAGTACGAGATCCCTGACAGCCCCCCCCCCCCATGATGCCTTAGTGTGCTAACGTTGGGGGCCCTCGTCCGTCCTCGTCCTCGTCGTTGAGGGTGGGAGGGGGGCACGTCGAGGGCCTGCGCTCCTGGGCCGCCCTCGCCGCGTCGATCTCGGGTGCTCACGTCTTGGCGAGACGCCCCCCGACTCAGAATGCAATTCTCCTCCTCCTCCTCCTCCTCCTCCTCCTCCTCCTCCTCCTCCCTCCCTCCCTCCCTCCTCCTCACTCCTCCTTCTCCTCCTCACTCCTCATGCTCCTCCTCCTCCGCCTCCTCCTCCTCCCTCCTCCTCCTCCTCCTACTCCTACTCGTCCTCCTCGTCCTCCTCGCCCTCCTCGCCCTCCTCGTCCTCCTCCTCCTCCTACTCCTACTCGTCCTCCTCGTCCTCCTCCGCCCTCCTCGCCCTCCTCTCCTCCTCCTCCTCCCTCCTCCTCCTCCTCCTCCTCCTCCTCCTCCTCTCCTCCCCCCCACCTCCTCCTCCTCCTCTTCCTCCTTCTCCTCCTCCTCTTCCTCTCTCCTCCTCCTCCTCTCCTCCTCCTCCTCCTCCTCACTCCTCACTCTTCCTCACTCATTATGCCTCTTCCTCCTCCTCCGCCTCCTCCTCGTCCTCCTCCTCCTCCTCCTACTCGTCCTCCTCCTCCTCCTCGCCATCCTCCACCTCGTCCTCCTCCTCATCCTCTTCCACCTCGTCCTCCTCCTTCTCCTCCTTTCTCCTACTCACTCCTCCCCTTCCTCCTCAGTCCTCATACTCCTCCTCCTCCTCCGCCTCCTCCTCCCCCTTCTCCTATCCTTATTCCTTATTAGAATATACTCCTACTCCCCCCTCAGGCCGGCAGATAGCGGGCGCATCCGGGTGGTCCCATCCTAACCTGTAAAAACAACACAAAATCAACATTTTTCTTATTTTTTCCTCTCGACATGGACGTCCTGTCGTCCACGGCGATAATCCATTGCAAAAAATACCACAAAGAGCACACGCGCGCGTTCATGTCAGAATCCTACCGAACACCGTGTGTTTGCAAGCATTTCAACATAAAAACATCAAAAACCCAATGCTTTTTCACAAAAATTGTACAAATTTCCCGCCCGGGCTCTCTTGCTGAAATCATAGGAAAACCATAGGAATCTTAAGAATTCGGTCAAATCCAGCGATTTCACGTCATCGCGCGGTGCACTCGCGATGCTCTGTCATGCACCCAGGCCGCGAATCCTGTGCAAAAAATACACAAAGAGCACACTCGCGCGTTCATGTCAGAATCCTACCGAATACCGTGTTTTTGCAAGCATTTCAACATAAAAACATCAAAAACCCAATGCTTTTTCACAAAAATGCTTTGGGGTGTCCTGTCAGACCGTCGGGCTTCCTCCGGCCACCTCTGGCTTCCTGCGGTGTACCGGGCCATTCTCGACTCGTCTGGCAATGCGTGCGCGGCATTCAACACGCGCTCGCCAGTTCCCGTCGGCAACCGCCATCGCGGCCGCATCAGCTGTACCAAACCGGCTGGCCGGTGTGACTTCGGCCCCCAGTTGTGCCAGCTTTGCTTCTTATGTTGTGGGAGGGCGGGTGGGACTGGGCATGCCATGCTTGACTCGCTCGAGCTGGCTAGCTTGACTCCTACTCCTACTCCTACTCCTACTCCTACTCGTCTTCCTCGACCTCCTCGCCCCTCCTCGCCCTCCTCCTCCTCCTCCTCCTCCTCCTCCTCCTTAGCGCGGCGCACATTTGTTTTCCAAACTTGCAAGGGCTTCACGGATTGAGGGCGGGTGGTTTTCAAAACGTGGTTCTCGCTTTAGCGCCGCGCACATTCGTTTTGAACAAGTTGAAAGAACTTCACGGATTGAGGGCGGGCCGATTTCAAAATGTGGCTCTCGCCCCAGCGCCGCGCACATTCGTTTTAAAACAATGCAAGAGTTTCACGGATTGAGGGCTGGTCATGTTCAACATGTGGTTTCGCTTTAGCGCATTCGGCTTGAAGAAATTGCAGCAAGAGCTTCACGGATTGAGCGCGGGTGGTTTTCAAATTGTGGTTCTCGCCTAATCGCCGCGCATATCCGTTCTTAAAGCTTGCAAGAGCTTCACGGATTGAGGGCGGATGGTTTTCAAAATGTGGTTGTCGCTTTAGCGCCGCGCACATTCGTTTCTAACAATTTGCACAGGCTTCACGGATTCCCATGGTCGACGTACCAGAAATGGTGTGTTGGAAGGATTCAGGATTATGCGGGCGCGACAGTTATGTTGATTCGCGGTGTTGAAATCCGGAAGCATTGCATTATGGCACGGTTCCGGATCGCCAGAACGCAGCAGTCAGGTTGATACGTGGCGTTGAAATCCCGAGAACAATGTTTTGGCATCCTTCAGGATATTAACGCAGTTGTCTTCCAACGAGGCAGTTCCCTCAATGGAAATGAACCGTTGTAGGGGCCTATGAGGAGGGAGCTTGGAGGGAGGGTTAATTCCAACATCGTTGATGGGTCTTGGTTTTACACTGGTCCTCCTCCTCTTCCTCCTCCTCCTCCCTCTCCTCCTCCTTCTCCTTCTCCTCATCTGCATCCTCATCCTCATCCTAATCCTTCTCCTCCTCCTCCTCCTCCTCCTCCTCCTCCTCTTCCTCATCCTCATCCTCAATTCTTTCACCTTATCGATCATTTCTCCCTGTCGCACCCCGCGGCCAATTTTTAGGGCGGGCATGGCGTTTCGCTCGAGACTTCCTCACCAAGTATGACTCTCGCCTTAGCGCCGCGCACATTCGTTTGGAAAAAGTTGCAAAAGCTTCACGGCTTGAGGGCGGGTCGCTTTCGATATGTGGTTCTCGCCTTAGCGCCGCGCACGTTCGTTTCCCAAAAAATTGCACGAGCTTCGCGGATTGAGGGCGGGTGGTTTCCAAAATGTGGCTCTCGCTTCAGCTCCGCGCACGTTCGTTTTGAAACATTCCAATGGTTACACGGATTGAGGGCGGGTGGTTTTCAAAACGTGGTTTTCGCCTTAGCGCCGCGCACATTCGTTTTGAAAAGGCTGCAAGAGCTTCACGGATTGAGGGCAGGTGCTTTTCAAATTGTGGTTCTCGCTTTAGCGCCGCGCACATATGTTTCTAAAAAAATGCCAGAGTTTCGCGGAATGAGGGCGGGTCGTTTTCAAAATGTGGTTCCCGCCTCAGCCCAGCACACATTCGTTTTGACAAATGTGCAAGAGCTTCACGGGTTGAGGGCGGTTCCTTTCCAACATGTGGTTCTCGCCTTAGCGCCGCGCGCACTCGCTTTTAAAATTTTGCAAGAGTTTCACGGATTCCCATGATCAACGTACGTTTCGCTTGAGACTTCCTAGCACTTACGACTCTGAAGCTTAAACTGTGAGAACAGCTTCGCAGATGGAGAGCGGGTGGTTTTCAAAACGTGGCTCTCGGTTCAGCGCCGCGCACATTCGTTTTGAAAAAGTTGCAAGAGCTTCACGGATTGAGGGCGGGTGGTTTCCAACATGTGGCTGTCGCCTCAGCGCCGCGCACATTCGTTTTGAAACAGTTGCAAGAGTTTCACGGA